TTAAGCATATTTCAGGCTATCAACTTGGATTTTCTAAAGAATTTTTATTTCAAGGATTTATGGCATTCAATGCGGATTTTTGAAGGCATATTTTTTTCAAGGATATTTTAGGCCATCAATGTGGATTTTTGAAGGAATTTTTTTTTTCAAGGATATTTTAGGCTATCAACAAGAATTTATTTAAAAATATTTTTTCAAGGATATTTAAGGCTATCAACGTGGATTTTTTAAAGAATATTTAAGGCTATCAATGTGGATTTTTTAAAGAATATTTTTTCAAGGATATTTTAGGCCATCAACGTGGATTTTTGAAGGAATATTTTTTTCAAGGATATTTTAGGCTATCAACAAGAATTTATTTAAAAATATTTTTTCAAGGATATTTAAGGCTATCAAGGTGGATTTTTTAAAAAAATTTTAAGGCTATCAATGTGGATTTTTTAAAGAATATTTTTTCAAGGATATTTAAGGCTATCAACGTGGATTTTTTAAAGAATATTTTTTCAAGGATATTTAAAGCTATCAACGTGAATTTTTGAAGGAATATTTTTTCAAGGATATTTAAGGCTATCAACGCGAATTTTTTTAAGAATATTTTTTCAAGGATATTTAAGGCTATCAACGTGGATTTTTTAAAGAATATTTATTAAAGGATATTTAAGGCTATCAACGTGGATTTTTTAAGAAATATTTTCTCAAGGATATTTAAAGCTATCAACTTGGATTCTTTAAAGAATATTTTTTCAAAGGCTATAAACGTGGATTTTTTAAAGAACATTTTTCCAAAGATATTTAAGGCTATAAACGTGGATGTTTTAAAGAATATTTTTTCCAAAGATATTTAAGGCTATAAACGTGGATTTTTTAAAGAATATTTTTTCAAGGATATTTAAGGCTATCAACGTGGATTTTTTAAAGATTATTTTTTCGAGGATATTTAAGGCTATCAACGTGGATTTTTTAAAGATTGATTTTTCTACGTTATTTAAGGCTATCAACGTGGATTTTTTAAAGATTGATTTTTCTACGTTACTTAAGGCTATCAACGTGGATTTTTTTAAGATTATTTTTTTTAGGTTACTTAAGGCCATCGACGTGGATTTTTTAAAGAATATTCTTTCAAGGATATTTAAAGCTATCAACGTGGATTTTTTAAGGAATTTAAATACTATTTTTTTTCAAGGATATTTAAGGCCATCAACGTGGATTTTTAAAGTTTATTTTTTCAAGGATATTTAAGGTTATCAACGTGAATTTTTTTAAATAATATTTTTTCAAGGATATTTAAGGCTATCAACGTGGATTTTTTAAAGAATTTAAATAATATTTTTTTTAAGGATATTTAAGGCCATCAACGTGGATTTTTAAAGTTTATTTTTTCAAGGATATTGAAGGCTATCAACGTGGATTTTTTAAAGAATATTTTTTTCAAGGATATTTAAGGCTATCAACTTGTATTTTTTAAGAAATACTTTTGCAAGCAAAAAAAAAATGTTTTTTTTAAGGATATTTATATCAACGTGGATTTTTTAAAGAATATTTTTTCAAGGATTTTAAAGGCTATCAACTTGAATTTTTTAAAGAATAGTTTTTCAAGGATATTTCAGGCTATCAACGTGGATTTTTTAAAGAATATTTTTTCAAGGATATTTAAGGCTATCCACGTGAAATTGTTAAAGAATATTTCAGGCTATCTACGTGGATTTTTAAATAGTTTTTTTTTTCAAGGATATTTATGGCAATCAACGTGGATTTTTTAAAGAATATTTTTTCAAGGATATTTAAGGCTATCAACGTGGATTTTTTAAAGAATATTTTTTCAAGGATATTTAAGGCTATCAACGTGGATTTTTAAGGAGTATTTTTTAAGCATATTTCAGGCTATCAACTTGGATTTTCTAAAGAATTTTTATTTCAAGGATTTATGGCATTCAATGTGGATTTTTGAAGGCATATTTTTTTCAAGGATATTTTAGGCCATCAACGTGGATTTTTGAAGGATTTTTTTTTTTCAAGGATATTTTAGGCTATCAACAAGAATTTATTTAAAAATATTTTTTCAAGGATATTTAAGGCTATCAACGTGGATTTTTTAAAGAATATTTAAGGCTATCAATGTGGATTTTTTAAAGAATATTTTTTCAAGGATGTTTAAGGCTATCAACGTGGATATTTTAAAGAATATTTTTTCAAGGATATTTAAGGCTATCAACGTGGATTTTTAAGGAGTATTTTTTAAGCATGTTTCAGGCTATCAACTTGGATTTTCTAAAGAATTTTTATTTCAAGGATTTATGGCATTCAATGCGGATTTTTGAAGGCATATTTTTTTCAAGGATATTTTAGGCCATCAATGTGGATTTTTGAAGGAATTTTTTTTTCAAGGATATTTTAGGCTATCAACAAGAATTTATTTAAAAATATTTTTTCAAGGATATTTAAGGCTATCAACGTGGATTTTTTAAAGAATATTTAAGGCTATCAATGTGGATTTTTTAAAGAATATTTTTTCAAGGATATTTTAGGCCATCAACGTGGATTTTTGAAGGAATATTTTTTTCAAGGATATTTTAGGCTATCAACAAGAATTTATTTAAAAATATTTTTTCAAGGATATTTAAGGCTATCAAGGTGGATTTTTTAAAAAAATTTTAAGGCTATCAATGTGGATTTTTTAAAGAATATTTTTTCAAGGATATTTAAGGCTATCAACGTGGATTTTTTAAAGAATATTTTTTCAAGGATATTTAAAGCTATCAACGTGAATTTTTGAAGGAATATTTTTTCAAGGATATTTAAGGCTATCAACGCGAATTTTTTTAAGAATATTTTTTCAAGGATATTTAAGGCTATCAACGTGGATTTTTTAAAGAATATTTATTAAAGGATATTTAAGGCTATCAACGTGGATTTTTTAAGAAATATTTTCTCAAGGATATTTAAAGCTATCAACTTGGATTCTTTAAAGAATATTTTTTCAAAGGCTATAAACGTGGATTTTTTAAAGAACATTTTTCCAAAGATATTTAAGGCTATAAACGTGGATGTTTTAAAGAATATTTTTTCCAAAGATATTTAAGGCTATAAACGTGGATTTTTTAAAGAATATTTTTTCAAGGATATTTAAGGCTATCAACGTGGATTTTTTAAAGATTATTTTTTCGAGGATATTTAAGGCTATCAACGTGGATTTTTTAAAGATTGATTTTTCTACGTTATTTAAGGCTATCAACGTGGATTTTTTAAAGATTGATTTTTCTACGTTACTTAAGGCTATCAACGTGGATTTTTTTAAGATTATTTTTTTTAGGTTACTTAAGGCCATCGACGTGGATTTTTTAAAGAATATTCTTTCAAGGATATTTAAAGCTATCAACGTGGATTTTTTAAGGAATTTAAATACTATTTTTTTTCAAGGATATTTAAGGCCATCAACGTGGATTTTTAAAGTTTATTTTTTCAAGGATATTTAAGGTTATCAACGTGAATTTTTTTAAATAATATTTTTTCAAGGATATTTAAGGCTATCAACGTGGATTTTTTAAAGAATTTAAATAATATTTTTTTTAAGGATATTTAAGGCCATCAACGTGGATTTTTAAAGTTTATTTTTTCAAGGATATTGAAGGCTATCAACGTGGATTTTTTAAAGAATATTTTTTTCAAGGATATTTAAGGCTATCAACGTGGATTTTTTAAAGAATATTTTTTCAAGGATATTTAAGGCTATCAATGTGGATTTTTTAAAGAATATTTTCATAAGGATTTTTGATGCTATCAATGTGGATTTTTTAAAGAATATTTTCTTAAGGATTTTTGATGCTATCAATGTGGATTTTTTAAAGAATATTTTCTTAAGGATTTTTGATGCTATCAACGTGAATTTTTGAAGGAATATTTTTTCAATAATATTTAAGGCTATCAACGTGGATTTTTTAAAGAATTTTTTTCTCAAGGATATTTAAGGCTATCAACGTGGATTTTTTAAAGAATTTTTTTCTCAAGGATATTTAAGGCTATCAACGTGGATTTTTTAAAACAATTTTTTCTCAAGGATATTTAAGGTTATCAACGTGAATTTTTTTTAATATTTTTTCAAGGATATTTAAGGCTATCAACGTGGATTTTTTAAAGAATTTAAATAATATTTTTTTCAAGGATATTTAAGGCTATCAACGTGGATTTTTAAAGTTTATTTTTTCAAGGATATTTAAGGCTATCAACGTGAATTTTTTAAAGAATATTTGTTCAAGGATATTTCAGGCTATCAACGTGAATTTTTTAAAGAATATTTTTTCAAGGATATTTAAGGATATCAACGTGGATTTTTTAAAGAATATTTTTCCAAAGATACTTAAGGCTATAAACATGGATTTTTTAAAGATATTTAAGACTATCAACGTGGATTTTTTAAAGAATATTTTTTCAAGGATATTTAAGGCCATCAACGTGAATTTATTTAAAAATATTTTTTCAAGGATATTTAAGGCTATATTAGAGAATTCTAAATTATGTCTTTAATAGATGCCATAACTTTGTGAGACCTTCTATAGTAGCTCTTCTCTCACTCAACCCTCCCTCTTATACTTACCCTACAATGAAATATAAAAAAGTAAATCTTTTCAAATTAAAAAAAAAATACCCATTCACATTTCTGCAGTTGTACGCTTCATTATTTATTTTTTTAATTTTGAGTAAATTGTACATAAGAGTATGTCATTAGAATAGTTGTTGTTGCTGTTGCTGTTGTGTTTTTTTTTTTTTTTTTTTTTTTTTTTTTTTTTTTTCATTTAAATTTCTAAATATATAATTATTTTTAGTGGTTTATATTTAATTATGTACTATGTAGTCGTATTTATCCGCTGAATGTGTCTCTTAAGTTTGTTATGGCGTTTTTATTCTCTGCTCTACTAATTTTCGATTTTCTAGCTGTCATCTAATTGAGTTGATTTTTTTTTTCAGATAAATTTAATAAGATATTGATTGATTGTTTGGTTCGAATTGTTGTTTCTATTTTTAATTTAGTTGTTTTTAGTTTGTATTATTTAATTATCATTGAATAGAACTAAAGTATAATAATAAATTTGTTTTAGTCTTTTCTTATTATCATGTTTCTTTTGTTTCGCGGTTTATATACATTTACAAGAATGCTTAGGAGTACGATAATTCGGAAATCAGAAAAATATATAATGAAATAAAAAAAACAGTTCTTAAATGAATTATTAATTAAGTATTAAATATTAAGTAACAATATAAATTTTTATTGGAAAAAAATGTCTTCAATACAGATGAATCTAAAGCTGTTATACTTTTATCATGGGGGGTTTTCTAGGGTCATCATGGTGACAGGCAGTGGAGGGGGGTAGAGGGGGACAAGAACCAAATCAAGATCTAGTTGTAAGACATCTCCAATAAGGTTTATAGAAGACCACTGACAGGATAGAAAATCGTCAGTGGTCTCCTATAGATAAAATACCTTCAAAAGGACTCCTAAGTATAGAAAATCTTTAATAGATCTACTATAGATAGAAAACCTTTATCAGGTTTCTATGAGATGGAAGGTGTCCTTTGTGTTAGAAGACCTTTAACAGGTCTCCAATGGATCTTCTAAGAAGTCTGCTATAAAAAGAAGATCTTCAGCACGACTTTAGCAGACATCCTATGGATAGAAGATCTTCAACATATCTCCAATGAAAAGAAGCTCTTTAACAGGTCTTCTACAAATATGTCTCCTGTGGAAAGAACACCTTCAAAGTCTAGTTGTAATACATCTCCAACAAGGCATATAGAAGACCACTGACAGGATAGAAAATCACCAGTGGTCTCCCATAGATAAAATACCTTCAAAAGGACTCCTAAGGATAGAAGATCTTTAATAGATCTGCTATAGGTAGAAAACCTTTATCAGGTTTCTACGAGATGGAAGGTGTTCTTTGTGTTAGAAGACCTTAGGAGGTCTCCCACGGATCTTCTGAGAAGTCTGCTATAAAAAGAAGATCTTCAACAGGTCGGATATACCTTTAGCAGGCCTCCTATGGATAGAAGATCTTCAACATGTCTCCAGTGGAAAGAAGCCCTTTAACAGGTCTTCTACAAGTACGTCTCATGTGGAAATAAGACCTTCAAGGTCTAGTTGTAAGACATCTCAAATAAGGCATATAGAAGACCACTGACAGGATAGAAAATCGCCAGTGGTCTCTTATAGATGAAATACCTTCAAAAGGACTCCTAAGTATAGAATATCTTTAATAGATCTGCTATAGGTAGAAAACCTTTATCAGGTTTCTACGTAATGGAAGACAACACCAACAAAAGTCCCCTCCCTGAAAATAACATAACATTTTGTTTTAGGGCGAAAGTGTCAAAGAAAGTATGATTTTGGTGGCCATTGTGCGTTGGGAATAAAGCGAGGAACCTCATTTTGTAACCATTCTAGGGTCAACTTTAATTTTGTTTTTGTTTTTTTTTTTTTTTTTTTTTTTTTTTGATATACAATAAAAATTGAGATTTCTTTTCTTTGGAGGAGACTTATAGTGAAATTTGAGAAAAAAATGGGAATTTTCCAATAAACTTGTATGGAGTTCGAATTTAAGCCAAATTTATTTGTAAATTTCGGATGTAATTTTCTTAAAATCTATTAAGCCTAGATATATAGTTTATCTTTAGTTATTCTGTAGTGAAATTTTGTCTAAAATATTACTCCCTTTGACACTTTCGGCCTAAAAGGAACTTTAATAGCACTTCGAGGGGAAATGGATTTCAAAATAGAAATTTTATTCGTTTTTTTTTCTTTTGGCAACAAGAAAGCCTATGTTTTCTTGTTATATCGTGGAAATAGAGATTGCTTTTCTTTGACTTATAGTGAAATTGGATGGAGAATATTTTTCTCTTTAAAGTCCCTCTTCTAAAATGATGTTTTGTAGGAGAATTTTGCATAAACTCACATAAAGTGGGGCTTTCTCCCTAAAACATGGTATTTAATATTTCCGAATTTCTGGCGTTTAGGTTTGATTTAGACTTTTGACATACTCTAGAGCCTATAGTAGAATTGTATGAGAAATAATTTTGTAGAATATTTTGTCCTGCTACGATCCGGTTTAAAGGGAGTTTTCAATCATTTCTCGTAAAAAGGACCAAAAAGACCCATGTAATGACTCGCATGAGGGTTAAAATGTTCCATCAAAATAATCCTTGCATTGTTATCTGAAATATTGCCTCCGACACTATATACCTAAAATCTACGGGTTCCAATGAATTTTAATTCCGAATATTTGCAAAAAAAAAATCAGGAAAAGGGAGGATCTTGCCTCCATTATTTGGGTTTAGGTTCAGAGTAAATAGAAAACCTTCAACAGGTCTCTTAAGGATAGAATATCTCTAACAGCTGATTTTGCTCAGTATACCTAAATTTTACATTCCCTCCAAACAACCTACCCCCCACACATCTCCACCACATACTTCCTAACTTAAAAAAAAGAAAACAAAATTTGAAAAAAAAATTAAAATCTAAGCAACTAATTTTGATTGTAAAAAAGGTAATACACATTTTCAGATGATGCCTCCAGAGTATCATCCGCATAAATTAAAAAAAAAAATATTTAAGAGTGGAATTAATAAAAATGGAATTGTTGAAGTTATTAAACAAATTTTTTCTTGGTGTTGGTTTGCAGCTTCTACCAAAGAGGGGGATAAATAAAGCTATAACATGTGACTGCCAAGTCGGAGTAGGGGAAACTGGTCGGGCCTAGATTCGCAGGGAGGTTAAAGCACCTAAGAATCTTCATTATCATCGTCCTCTTTGCACACATCCATGGGCACAGCCAGTGACATATTGGCAGCATTGCCATTTCTCTCCATGGGAGGTTTGCGCAGGCGCAGCAACACCGGATAATGGAGATCAGCATCATACAGCGTCGAGTTCATCAGCTCCAAATGACGCTTCCATATGGTCTCATTGTAGCGCTGAGTTATGGATACCATAAAACCATGTTTGACAGACTCTTCAATGAATAGTGACATGGTTTTGCCACGTCTCGGGGCCATAACCAAGGCCTCACCATGCTGGGAGAGATAATACCATATGGTGTCCACCAAGGCACTGCGGGCCTCATCAAAGAACAGACAGTCGGCTGAGAGTATCACATCAAATTTTCCTGCCTCCGAAGGCGAACGACTTCCCCTCTCCTCCCATTTGAGGACCGAACATTTGGTGTAGCATGACATCTCATTGAGGCAAACAGTCTTCTTGACATTTTCCACCGACACCTCATTGCCATCGGTCAAATGGACCGCATAGGGTTTGGCATATTTCGATAGCATAAGTCCGGATAGGCAAGTGAAACCGCCGCCCAATTCCAATATCCATTTTCCATTATACGACTCCAGATCGGACAACACAAAAGCCGTCAAGGCCTCCTCGGAGGGCCAAACGCAAATATTGCCCGTATTATTGAAACCCATTAGATCCGTGGCCGTTAAATGGCGATCCATGTGATGGATATTCACAGTATACTCCTGCTGAGCTGTACCACTGCTCCCCGTGTCCAATATCACCTTGTATTTATACCAATTTTCCGCCTTTCCCAGATAATTTAAGGTACTATGATCTTCAAAGCTATCCTGGCGCAACAAATCGAAGGACTTGAAGCGTCGCACCGAGGCATTCTGTTCCGCAGCGCATTCTTCGCCCGACGACGAAACCGTCTCCTCGGAATCCTTGCGCAACACCTTGGCCAGAATCTTCCAACGTTTGCGGGCAGTGTTTTGGGTGACCGGTGTGGCTGGCGGTGTTAGAGGTAATACGGCTTTGATCACATCATCACATTTTACCGTTAGCGGTTGTAAATTTTGACTAGAATTGGAATTCATAATTATTGTACTATTGCGACTAGTGTTATCTACGGCATGGGCGGCCATGGTCTGGGTTGTGGTCTTTGCCACCTCTTCTTGTACGTTACGTTCTTGCCTTGCTAATGGTGGCGGCGGTGAGGGCGAAGGGGTTGGCGATGGCGATGGCGGTATCAGCGGCTGTTCTTTGGTTTTGTAAATTTTCGTTTGACAATTCTCTTTAATTGAATTTAGGGTATTATCAATGTCATAATCCCACATTATTGATATGGATGATAGTTGGGACTGGGACTGTTGTGGTTGTTGTTGTTGCTGTGCCTGCTGCTGCTGATGTCTTGCTTGTTGCTTTGTACTATTGTCCAACGCCACACCAGAATTTTGTACTGCTGATGTTGACATTGTTTTTGGGGTTTTGTTTCTAGAGATTCTTTTGATTTGTTTCTTAGATTTGAGGTTTTTGATATGGCGTTTTTTTTTTCAGAGTAGAGAGTAAGAGAGAGGGGGAGAGTGAGTGAGAGCTCAGCAATACTCTTTAAGGTCCATTGATAGTTGGGGTGGAATTAAGTAGTGATTGTGGTCCGAATGTAACAAATTGAAGAATTTGGGTGAAAAATTATTTGTACCAACCTGGAAAGAGACAGAAATGGAAACATTTTAGTTAGTTAATCGATTTAATAAACATTAAAAATAATAGTTTTTTAATATTTTTAAAATTAAAAGAGTAACTTATGGTATTTTGGAGGATATCATCATTGACAAATTTTTGTTCCATATTACAGCGTTTGACGTAGATAACCTTGAAAAAGGAATTTTTGCAGTGTCCTTGAATATTGGCCTACTAGTTTCAAAATCCAAAAATAGTCTTAAAAATTCAAAAATATAGGTAGTGTAGTTCTTCAAAATATTCTTAAAAAATATTATCTTTGAAAAAGTATTCTTTGAAAATCCACGTTTGTAATTCTGATGGTTCTTGAAAAAATATTCTCTTTGGAAAATACACGAACATTGGCCTAACAGTCCCTGAAAAAATATTCTTTAAAGATCTTTAAAAAAATTACAAATATTCTTAAAATATCCAAGAATATTAGTCCTCTAGACCTTGAAAAATCCAAGTTTGATAATCTGATGGTTCCTGATACTCTTTGGAAAATTCACGAATATTGACTTACTATTCCTTGAAGAAATATTCTTAAAAATATCCAAAAAAAATATCATCAACAATCCTAGTTTGTTGCTCTGATGGTTCTTGAAAAAATATTCCTTGAAAAATCCACGAAAATAGGTCAAATAGTCCTTGAAAAAAATCTTTACAAAATCCAAAAATATTCGCAAAAAAACTACAAGAATATAAGACGTCTAGTCCTTGAAAAATCCACGAATATAGGCCAAATAATCCTTGAAAAAAATTATTAAAAAATCCAAAAATATGCATAAAAACTCCAAGAATATAAGACCTCTAGTTCTTGAAAAATATTCTTTGGAAAATCCACGAATATAGGTCAAATAGTCCTTAAAAATCCTTAAAAATATCCAAAAATATGCATAAAAACTCCAAGAATATAAGACCTCTGGTCCTTAAAAAATATTCTTTGAAAAATCCACGAATATAGGTCAAATAGAAAAAAATCCTTAAAAATCCAAAAATATTCCTAAAAAAACTCCAAGAATATAAGATGTCTAGTCCTTGAAAAATATTCTTTGGAAAATCCACGAATATAGGCCAAATAGTCCCTGAAAAAAAATCCTTAAAAAATCCAAAAATATTCCCAAAAAACTCCAGGAATGTACGACCTCTAGCCCTTGAAAAATATTCTTTGGAAAATCCACGAATATAGGCCAAATAGTCCTTGAAGAAGATCCTAAAAAAATCCAGAATTATTCTTAAAAAAATTTCAAGAATATAAGAAGTCTAGTCCTTGAAAATATTCTTAAAATAAATCCAAGAATATTGCTCGTCAAATCCTTGAAAAATTTTCTTAACAAATCCAAACAAATAACAAAATTATTGGTCTGTTGGTACTTGAAAACATTTTCTGTAAAAATCTTCGATTATTTTCTTTTCGTCCTTAAACCAAAACCAAAAGATCTTTAAAAAATCCAAGAGCATAGGTTGTCTCGTACGTGAAAAAAAATCTTTAAAAAATCAGCGATTATTGGTTCTTTAAAAAATCCTCAAGGGCTAGTCCTTGTAAAAATATTTTAAAAAAAAATCCAAGACTTTTGGTCTATTGGTCCTTGAAAAAAATCTTCTTTAGATATTCCATAATCGAGGTCCTTTAAAAAATATTTTCTTTAAAAAGCCGCGTCTGTTGGTCCTTGAAAAAATATTCTTTAAAAAGCCTCGTTTTGCGGTCTGTTGATTCTTAAACAAATATTTTTTAATGAATCCAAAATTGCTGGTTAGTTGGTCTCTGAAAAAATATTCATCAAAAAAATGCTCAATCCTGGTCCTGCTTAATTTGGATAACTAGAATTTGCTATCACTGTACATTCCGATATCGTGGATAAACTTTTAAGTCCATTTGTATAAAACGGATAATTTATTTAGCTAATTCGGATAAAGAGGATACGCTAAGTATCACACATTTGATTAACGTGGATAAGCTTTTAAGACCATTTGGATAATGTGGATAGCGTATTTAGCTCTTTCGGATAACGAGGATAAGTTAGTTACATTATTTGGATAATGTAGATAAGCTTTTTCAAATTATTTGCACCATTCGAATGGCATGGAGAACCCATTTGGATAATGTATTTTCGTCATTTGAATAGCGTGAATAACCGATTTACATAATTTGGATAACGTGGATAGCATATTTAATGCATTTGAATGACGTGTATAACGTTACTACCTAATTTGGATAATGTAGATAACCCATTTTTTTTTTTGATAACCTGTATAACCTATTTACTTAATTTGGATAACGGATAAAGGATGAAATATTTCATTCATTTGGATAACGTAGATAATTTACTGCATTTGCATAACGTGGATAAGCTAATTACCAACTTTTGGATAACGAGGACAACCAAGATACATCATTTGCATAACGTGAATAAGCTTTCTAGATCATTCGGATAATACGGATAACCTATTTACTTCATTTGGATATCGTGGGTAACCAATTTACTTCACCTAAATAAAGTGGATTACATATTTAATTCACTTGGATAACTTGAATAATGTATTTATATCACTTGGATAACGTGGATAATCTATTTACTACATTTGGATAACGTGGATAACCTATTTACTACATTTGGATAATGTGGATAACCTATTTACTTCATTTGGATAACGTGGATAACTTATTAACTTTGTTAAGATAACGTGGGTAATCTATTTACCTCATTTGGTTAGATTGGATAACCTGGATAACCTAACTACATTATTTGGATAACGTGGATAACCTATTTACTTCATTTAGATAACACGGATAATCTATTTGTTTCATTCGGATAACGCGGATAAGCTAATTACTTCATTTGGATAACGTGGATAACCTATTTACTTCATTTAGATAACACGGATAATCTATTTGTTTCATTCGGATAACGCGGATAAGCTAATTACTTCATTTGGATAACGTGGATAACCTATTTTCTTTGTTTAAAAAACGTGAATAATTTATTTACTTCACGTGGATAACCTATTTTCTTTGTTCGGATAACGTGGATAAACTCTTTTCTTCATTTGGATAAAGTAGATAATGAATTTACTGCATTAGGATAACGTGAATATCCTATTTACTACATATGGATAAAGTGAGTATCCTATTTACAGAATTTGGATAACGTGGATAAAGCATTTTCGTCACTTGGATAAAGTAGATAACCTATTTACTGCATTTAGATAACCTGGATATCCTATTAAGTTCATTTAAATAATGTAGATAATGCATTTACTTCATTTGGATAGCATGGATAACCGATTTGCGTCATTTGGATAATGTGGATAACAAATTTAATTTATTTGGATAACGTGGACAATGTATTTTCGTCATTTAGATAATGTGGATAACCTATTTAATTCGTTTGAATAATGTGGATAACCTATCTACTTTATTTGGATAACGTGGATAACTTATTTACTTCAATTGAATAACAAGGATAATACAGTTACTCCAATTGGATAACGTGGATAGTCTATAGACATCATTTGGATAAGGTAGATAGCCTATTTACTTCACTTGGACAACGTAGATAATGCAGTTACTTCATTTGGGTAAAGTGGATAATGCAGTCACTCTATATAGATCAAGTAGATAATGTGGATAATGCAGTTTCATCATTTGGATAACATATTTAGTTCATTTCGATAAGGACTACATCATTTGGATAAAAAGGATAATTGATTAAGACAAGGAGGATAACTTATTAGTCTAATCTGGGTAAAATGGATAAATTATTTACGTTATCTGAATAACTAAATTATGTTATGTGTATTATGCGGACCTGGATATCGAGAATAACTTATTTATGTTATCTGAAAAATATGGATAACTTATTTACAACATATGGATAATGTGGATAAATTATTTACGTTATCTGCGCAACGCGTATAACTTATCCGGATCAAATGGATAACTTGTCACGATAACTGAATAATGAAGTGAGATTATAAACCTCATCTGGATAGATGGATAAATAATATAACATAAAGATAATTTATATTTTTTTTTATCTGGATAACGAGGATAATTTCTTTACGCTATCCTCATAAGGTGGATATGTTACTTATATATCGCGGATAACAAATTCGCGTTATCCAAATAGTTTGGATAACTTATCTACGTTACTTACGTTAACAGGATATCGTCTAATTAATTTTGCGTTATTTGGATAATACGGATAACATATTAAAGTTTATTATTGGATAATATGGATAACTTATTTACGTTTTCTGGATAACATACTTTATTCGGATAACACTAAAAATGTATTTCCTCCGCTGGGTTGACCCAAAATCAGATTTTCCCTCTCAACATTTTAACCTCATGTCTTTACAAAAGATTACTTAATCCTGCATCGACGAACTAAAATGAATGACCAACATAGAAATGTAAACGCCACAATTACCCCACTCTTAAAACACATCATTCACGATTAATTAATGAAAAATTTCACTTAAAAATGAATGTGTCCCCCTCTCTCCCCTCTCTCTTTCTCTCTCACGGCACTCTGGCGAATTGACATCAAATTAAATTTTAAGGCCCTGCAAATTCTTGATGTGGACGCCAAGTGGCCCCAAATAAAATCACTGCAACCAACAGAGGCAGCAGTACTTAGTTGTATTGGTAGTATGAATAGAAAGAGCAACAATAGCAACAACAACAACATGAACTGCAATTATACAAGCAAGAACAAAGGCAGCAGTTGCAACTGCTTGTGCCACAAACAAAAACATTGGCAGGCGTAGTGTGCCTCTTTGTAAATGCCACAACAGCAGCAAAACGACAACAAGCCAAAAAGTACAATGTGGCAAATAGTCGGAGGAACTGACTGACCGACCGACCGACCGACATGACGTCCAATGACATCTTTGGCCCAAAGACAAATTTTCACAAATTTCGAACAGCGCCAAAGCCAACGTCAAACCAAAAGAACAAACAGCCAGAAACAGCCAA